GTAATCATGCATCCTTATTTCCTCCTCGTGCACGTCGCCCAAAATCTCTTCCATATTCTTTTGCTTCTTCTCCTGCTCCTCTGTAACGAGTGCATCGGGGATTTTGCCAGAATTTTAGCTGGATTGCAGGAGAGATCGAGCAAATAGAACAAAAAAAAAGCCAAAGGACAATATGATAATAAATTTCAAGCAGTTCAAAAGAAAGATGGTGAGAAACAACGTAAAAGGCGAATAGAGCACGAAAATAAACTCACTCTCAGCCATCTTCAGCTTGAACCGCTCCCTGACTTCCTCCAAGGTACTTCGCTTGACCTTCATCGACATACCCATGTTCCTAAAACGTTTCCGATCACCATTACCATAGCAAGTTGGTCTAGCAAACTAACCTCTGATGATTTTTACCATTGATGTGATCGAGGAAGTTGATAGAATCCTTGACAACACAATCGCAAACATCACAGTAGTATCCACCAGTTTCAGCAGCTGGTGTTGTCTTGTTAATAACGACAGATCGGCCAAGCTTTGATTCGAGATCGACCTTAAAAGGTATCAATCAAGTGTGGATGAGAATCACGGAGGAATGCTGCGGCTGTACAAATTTCTCCTTTATGGAAAGCAAGAAGAAAGTTTTTTATATGTCAGAGTAGCTCAAAAATCATTTTTTAAATGTTGTGAGGAAGACGGATTGCAACTAATTTCCCACTCACCTTGTAGTCTCTCGCCTTCAGCATTTCTCTTTTCACCTTCGGCTCATCTTTAGGCTTCAAACCATTGCGTATAGCTTCGTCATTCTTTTCTGTTTTTATCCGCTCAGCAGCCTTTCGTGCAAACTCTTCCTGTAAAAGTAATAAATGATTGAAAAAATCGAAAGCGAAGAAAAAACAAACCTGGTCCCATTTCCGTCGATGATCAATTCCAGCGCTAGAGCCTGCTTGCTCATAAAAAGACATAACCTATCTGAAACTATGGCTATTGAGTTTAGCTCACATAAGAAAGCAATTTCGTTCCAAACAGATTGAAGCAACTCGCTCATATTCGAATTTAAGCAGATACAATTTGAGAAGGCAAGGTGGTACCCGCATTCGAGGTTTACGCATGTCCAAAGATGGAAACTGGATGTCCTAACCCCATGCTATTGATGAAAAAACTCGCAGACGAAAGTAGTACTGAAGAAGGAACAAACTGCTCAATGTGCAATGTGCAACGTGGCTTAGCGTGTAATCAAATGCAAGTTGTGTACACACCAAATCTGCGTTACCATGGTCATAAAATGACTGTCAAAGTTCCCTTCATCGCCAGTGTCATCTTCAGAAACAGAGGGAGGACTAAGATACTAGCAGTAGCTGAAACATAGTTGGCCAGAGTTTCATCATTAATTTTTTAAAATTTTC